AAGTTTCGTCGGTACGAAGTTACGGAAAGTTAATTAAAAAACGGAAACGTAACACTACTAATTAGTTGAATAAGGTGCTAAAAGAGGTCAGCATAACTTCGACATAGGAACCTCATTTTCAACTGAACATCCGATATTCATAGGTTGCGCTGTTGTTTCTTTCTTTTTAAATACCTTTGAACTAAATTATATGATTATGATATGAAATAGGAGAAACGTTATTTATATAACAAAGACAATATATATTGTTGAATTGCCAGCTGCATTTGAGAATGAAGGTCATTGTGTTACGGTCACCAAGGCAACTAGTAGGGCGTTCAGCAGTTTTTAATTGTCCTTAAATCTTTATTTAACATCATTTACATTGTTCTTGCCAGACGATGACACACAGGTTTGGATTAATAATTTTTGTGGTCCTGGCTTAGAGGGTATTGTTCCCTCTCGTACTTCATTATGCATATCCATATTTATAACTGTAGTATTAAATATTAGGTGTGTATCCTTTTTTAGGACAGCACAATGCCACAACTTGTTTCGTCTGCATTTCCCAAAGAAGGGGTGGGGCGGGGGGAGCTATAATGGCAGCAGTAAGAATCTTAAAGAATATAACTGTATGTTGGTAGGAAATGGGCTCGAATTACGGGGTGGGGGGGGGGCGGATGGTCTAACTCCATACTTAAAACTTGCAATCATCCAGCTGTTGCATTATTTTGCAATTGGGAAGAGGGAGGGGTCATGTTTTTTCACCGCTTTCTTGAATATACACTTGGAAACAAGACATGTTAAATTTAGATTCTCCCCACCAAAGAATATTTAATTTGAGTCCTTCTTAAAAAATGTCTTTATTGCATTTATTATTATATAGTTTGTTAATTGTTATAATAGATTTTGGGGACACGTGTAGGTCTGTGCATTAGTACAGCTCAACGATGACAAGTAAAATTCCTTCTAATGCAGACTACTTATTTTCTAGCTGTGTCATATAATAATCACTAAATATAACAGAATAAGGGAGATGTTATACCACTTTTAAAAGGTATAAACAAGAGGGTAGTATATTTACATTATATTATTCCATCATTTAAGTGTATGTTCTTGTATTTTTGTTATATCTTATTTAGATTATATGGGTGGATAATCTGACTATCTCTCTGTCTCGGATTAAAAAGAATTGAGACCAGCATTTTTATCAGTAAGTAACGCTTGGCTTGTAAGTCAAAAGTAGGTAACGCCTTTGACTCTATCCCACGCCTAAAAACGGTGAGGTGTATCTATATGGAAGGTTAGCTGCTGCTGTTATTGTGTTTTTTAGTTCAAAACTACACAACGGGCTACTAGCACTCTGTCTACTGCGGGGAATCAAAACCCGAATTTTTCGTTGTAAGTTCTAGATATAACTTGACCCACCAGTGGACTAGCATTTGTAATATCGACAAATAAAGCTTGATATTTACTCTGTTACTGTGGGTGAGGATCTTTCAAAAAATATTAACTTTTTTAAACTTTAAAAAAGATATGTTTAGAGAATTTTGCATTTTTTTTAAACCGTTGAGGTGTAACATTTTACTTAGCACGTGTCACACACATCGCGTGCGTTTACCGATGTGAGTTTTCGAATCTGAATTAGTTCTGCATTTATCTTTTAGGGCTTACATTTAGTGAAGAAAAAATAGGAGTTGAAACTTTTTTTAAATTTCACGGAGGCGTGCACGTACAGAAGGAGAAAGCTATGAAAGAAAGCCTTTTTTTTTTTTTAAGTGAAGCGTTAGCGCGTGACAAGCTGCTTTTGCCACCAGATCTAGTACTCCAGATTACGTTTTTAATTGCTTTATTGATTGAAGAATAACATTAAATGACCATGATATTTAGGTTTAGGCGGCTATGTAATAAAATCCTGCTTTTTTATAATGAAATACAAGTTTAAATTAAAGCTAACTCATAAAAAGACGAATTATTTTGTGGCTGTAGAATAGATAGGAAATTAAGTGAATCAATGTAAATAACGCTAACTAATTCGTTGGGGTTGAAATAAAATTGCATGAAAGTTTTATCTAAAATATACTAACCCCAGTTAGTTTGTTAAAACTTTTTAAGTTGTAGACTGGACAATCAAAAACCATGGAGTGAAAAAGAAAACTTAGCAAAAGCAAATTGCAACATAAATGTGAAGAGAAGAGGAGATATTCTAGAAATTAAAATCAAGTAAACATTGCTTAAACATAAAGGCCTAAGTATTACAAAACAAATTATGTAGCCACTTCTTCAGCTCTGTCTTTTTTTTTTTGTGGTAAGTCTTTTAAAAAGAGTACAAATATAGCTTTATGATAAACTAGTCTCTAACAAATATGCTATGGCAAGTCCATAAAAAATTCAAATGGTAAAAAAAAATAATAGCAGGCTTTAATCTAGTGAAGTTTTTATTGGTGTTGGATTGAGTGTCCTTTTTCATAAGCTCTAAAAAATAACATTGCTTAAATACCAAAACAACAAATTAAGCCATGAGGGGATTGTAACGTTATTTGTTTATCTATAAATCTTGGAAAGATAAACACCACATATGAGTATTAGAGAAGCTGCCATTTGAAACACTGATGAATCAAGAGTTTGTTTGATGACCTTGATCAGAAAATTTCACCTATAAGTATCTTGTTTGGTGACCTTTAATTACTTAGCCAGTCCTTATGCTTTATAAAGCAACTTGAACCTTAATGGTAGCTCATAACAACTTTAAATCTTGTATTATTGGGAGCTGTTAGTGTGCACTAATATTAATTTTATCATGCTGTGTCTTATACTTTGGAAAATTATATAAGGTTCATATTAATGCAGTTATCTGAGGGATATCAGTATAAACAATGACACAACAGATTCCTGTACTTCAGTGCTTTCAGCTTCCCAAATAATTACCCTCATCCAGTCATTAATACTATCTCATCACCAAGCCATGTGACTCGTGTGGCACATTTCCTGTAACATTGCCTTCTGTTATCATCTGCCTGTTAGATCACACACATTTAATTATATTTTAAGTTTTTCATGTATGTGTGTAACAAAGAAAAGAACTGAAAAACCTTGAAGCTTGATGGTTCATTTTATGCATTTTTCCAAAAAGAAAAGTTGAGAATGTGTATTTTTTTTTTTAAATACATAACTCAGTTTAAATTCCACCCACAGATAGGCACAGATACACCTTTAGTTTTTATTGTCTCTAGGTTTTGATCTTTTTTAGTATATGTGGCTTCTAACTATTCCTAAATCATGACAAAGGGTAGAATCTAAACATTTAAGTAGTTTACTTCCCAATTAAAATTAAGAAGAAAGTGTATTCTTAAGTCATAAGTTAAGAAATTTTATTTTAAAATAATGTACTCTAACTGCTCCTATAAAACAGCAAGTCATGTTAAATGTTTTCAACATTGATTTGAATAATTTACCTGAGTGATAAATGTATTTTCAAGGTGTCATCTTATAAGATTAACAAGGACTAAAGCCAGTAGGTATGAAAAACAAATTACATGATGAAAGTAACTTGAAAAATAACATGCAAAAACTAATCAATTTATTTCCAGGTGAATTTATTTTAGAAAACAAAATATTTATGATTTGAAAAAAAATACTTGTAAAATCAAAATTTGATGATTCCTCACATTTGTTGTTACTCATCATATAATTTATATTTTTTACATCCATGTAGAGATGGCAGAGACGTTGGTTTGTTCTGTATGATGATGGAGAGTTGACTTATTCTGTGGATGAGCATGTGAGTGTCCTACTTATGTTAAACAGCACCAAATAAAACAAAACTAGCAACTTTAGACAATCATGGCAAAAGATTGTTTAATATCATACTGTTGAATGTGTATTTTAAAAGTATGTATACTTGTACTTCTAAAAATCTAGAGGAAAAAAATGTTTTATACAAAATGTGATATAGTCTGAATTAATAATACTGTTGCGTATCTGCTTGTTTGATAATTTCTGGTAAAAATTCTTTCCGAGAAACTTCAGCAATACAAGTACTTTCTTAATTAAAACTAGTTTATTCTTTCTCGATACAACTTTGTAATACACAGAATTTCCATAGTCACTTTAAACTTAACAACCTTTATAACACGCTATAAATCACAGTGATTCACACACTTTACTTACAGTGCCTACTGTTTGTTTGACTCAGTTATCTATCTTTTCTATCTATCTGCCTGATCGTGCTGGTTTTTCTTGCTAGGCTGATATACTAAAAGAGAGAGTGCCTTGAACAAACTAGAGTTGCCAGGAAAATTCATGATCCTTCTAGAAACTCCAGTGCGCATGCTCCCAGCGTCTCGTGACTTCCGCTGTCGTAACAATACCCTAGAGGTGGTTAGAGAGATTTATACTTTTATTTTTAGTAGTGAAGTTAAATTAATTGCTATTTTTACTTTGTCTTCAAAATATCTAGTACAAGCAAAAGTACCCGTCCCCAGTGACAGGAAAAGTTTAAGTTAATCTCTGAATTTAAATTATTTCATAGACTTTAAAAAGGTTAATTGTGTTGCACTCTTGCTTTCACTCAGAGCCAAAGCTCTGAGCTACTTATACCGCCCACCGCGAAAAGTAATTGTTAAGCATTTCAGTCATGCTAAGAGCTGTTCAAGAATACCGTATGATAAATCTACACTTTTATTCTTTAAGTTACATCACATTTTGAAATGTGAATGATAGTGTGATTAATTCCTAACAATTTAGTGTAGAATATCGTGCTTGAGAAATATAATTTGGCATCAACATTATTCATGCCTGTTCTCCCGTCATTTTAAAAGTGAATGTTGAGACTTGCCTGCATGTACAGATTTTCAACTGGGAGACAGACAAGCACTCGGACAGACACCATGGTTCACAGTATATATAAGTTTATTCACAAAATTATTACAATCTGACATAATTTAATTGTAGATATGATGAATGATTTTCATAGGATTTATGTATTGGCTAAAACTATGTAATTTTAAAATCAAAACACTGAGGCACAAAATCTGTCAGGGTCTTAATAAACTATTTATACCTATATTTTTCAATGTGATTCAAAATAAATGTGTGTGTGTAACAAAAAACAAAACTCTTACATGTGTTTTGTCATCAAGTTTTAAAATTTAATTTATATCATAGGCCTGCAAGAATTTTATTTGTTGAAAAAACTGGTAACCTGTTTCTCATAATTTTTTTATATATTTCAGCGAATTGTAATGCTTAACTTTTCAAAGTGCATAAATGAAAAACTTAATACTAAAATACTTGTATTTAAAATAGTGCTGAATGATTAATTGAAATTTTGACTAGATTTTGATTATTAAAATAAACATCAATATCGGATTTATGTGATTACTTAATACCTAAATTTTGATTTGATTAGTACATAAAAAAACTGTGTGCCATTTGTGTTTTCACTTGTAACCACTTCTGTTATCATTATCTTATCCTGCAGCTATAGAGTTCACAGAAAAAGGAAAAGAAACATTCTTTCTTATCAGTGTTTAACTATGCACTAAAAAATAAGAAATGTTAAATAAGTATGTTTGTGAACTTTCATATGGTATTTTTTCTTTTTTGTTTATCATATTTATTCCAAACAACATCAGTGGGTTGAGTTGATTTCACTGGGTAAGGATTGTTTGTCGGGCAACTGTTGGATCTGTAATTCTTGGGGCTCTTTGAAGCAATGCAAGCACAGACATATGCCTTCTTGTTCAAAATACATCTTTCAGAATGCATCCTAAATACCTTGATAAGCATTGTTGTTTGTTAGAAATAATGTGATGGTACTTTCACAAGAAAAGCAGAGTATTGAATTCTAGTCAGTAAAAAAAAAAATGTCAGTTATACGAGGTGAGTGACCATTTAAATATATACTGTACAGTCACACACACACGTGGAAACATACAGACTATTTTGTATTTATAATGCTTATTTGAAGAAGTTAACAAGGCACAATAACAAATTACCATTTTTAATCATAGTCATAAAAGCCAAGTGTTGGTTAGCCAGTCGATCACGCTCGATTTCATCCAAATTTCGTGAGTTACACGAGTCCAGTTCCACTTTTTTTCCTATAATACTTCCTCTTTTCATTGCTTGTTCCCATTTTCGTTGAATTCAATCACTAATGTAGGTGTAAATAGCTCCTAAATTTTGGCACTTTTTCTGCTATATGAAAGCCTGTCAAGGAGGGAGTTTTTTTACCAACTAAGTTAGCACTGAGTGAAATTAATTTGATACTTGTTATGAAGAGAAGTTTTTGAGTGATGATTGAGTATTTACAAGAAATGTGGTTTTAAGAGAACTACTGCAATAATACAGTTGATGTGATTAGAAAATAACTGTGATCAATGAATGCTGGGACAATGACTGATGCTGATAAAGGAGATATTGCTCAGGATAGGCTTTAGTTTCTCGAAGCTACAAGTCCCTTTATTTTTCTTATGTCTCTTTACAGGTGGCAAAGTTGTAAATCTGAATATTGAAGGATTCAGATTTAGTGGGCTTTTATACTAGTTTATTAACAAAGCAAATTTCAAGGAGAGAGAGTCTGGCACCAGGAACTGCGAGAGAGTTGCCATGAGAACTTGCTTTACTAAGATTGTAGAGATGCCAAAAGTTAGATTACCTACCTTTAGTGTTTTTACAATTCAATTAATGATACATAAACTGGTTATTCTATATGTATATTGACTTACTCATAATTATAGTGCATTATTAGTTGTTTAATATTTATAAAGCTTAATCAGGAAACTTGTTTCTTTGTCTTGTTTTCACGTTTTTTTTGTTTTTTTTAAAGATAATCTAATTGGAATAGATAGTAATCGTGATTGAGATTATTTACAAATTTCGTATTGACAATCAAAGCAAACTTCAAAATCTATAATCACTCAGCACTAATTTAAAAAACATTTTTGATAAAATGGGGTGAATATGTTTTCACATTAGGTTCAATGAAATAATATGTATGTTTTTTTAGCCTGACACAATACCACAAGCTCTTATTGATATGAACAATGTCCTGGAAGTCAGTGATGCTGAATCTGTCACAGAAAGTCCTTTTTCTCTTGCCATAACAACAACAGAAAAAGCTCACTTCATCAAAGGAACAAGTAGGGAGGAGGCAAACTGGTAAGTTTTCTTGGATCTGTCTCAATTGGATAATAATAATAATAATACTCAATAATGAGAAGTCTTATTCTAATTTCTGGTTTTTAGGTGGGTAAAATAATTTTATAGTTCTACTTTTTTTTCTAAAAATGCCTGACTAGTTCCACCCATTAAATTACCTTTATTTCCACAATGTAGACTATCACTGATGTGAAATAAGTCTTGTTTCCTAAGTAATTGCAATCAATGGATCAACTGAAAGACACCAACTTAGTCATTTCTTATACGTCAACTGCTTCTCAAGAAATTTCTGTTAAAACAAATTAAACTGATAGATAATTCTAAATATTAATTAAAATCCTAAATTAAACAAACCTCACTATGACTCATAGTAGTTTAATGTGTGGAACTAGTCAAGTATTTTAAAAAATGAAGCTATTCCAAAACTTTTTAAAAGAAAGAACCTACTTGTGGTTTGTGAACCAAGTCATAGTTTTCGTCCTCTGTCTCTTTTATTAAATGAGAGATGAAAAGGCCTTTTTTGTCTTAAAGATCAAACTTAGTGATGGGATAGTAAAGATATAAGAACTTATTTTGATATATTGTTAAAAAGCTATTGTGTAACAAAGACAATACTTATGGTTGAAGATCTGTCAAATAAAGGAGAGACAAACATCATAATGGGAGATTCTAGTGGGTTTCCAAACAAATTAAGGATTGAAACTTTCTAAGTTTGTGAAAAAAAAGTGTAAATAACATTTGATAGCCAAGTAGTAATGTTGCTAACCAGCTAAACTGGGTTTTTTCAAACAGGTGGTTTGATGTGCTTTCTCGTATTGCAAGAAACACTGTGCGTGGAAAAAATAGACGTTTTGCTACAATTCCAGGAAGTAAACCAATTGTAACATCACCAACATCTCAGGTCATTATAAAGCTTATTTTCTTCAAGCTTCTAAAAGGAAAAATATAGAGAAACATTTTAAACTTGTTGAACTAGTTATTTGTCGTACTTTTTTTTGTGTTAGGATAAATATAAATTAATGCATTTTTATATGTTTTATTTGTATGTTATTCTTTGTGCATTCTGGAATTTATTTTTCCTTGTGTTTAATATGAACTTCAGAGTGGTTATTCAGTGTGTATATGATAAAGCCCTGAAGTCCTTTTTTCTGTTATAATTAGTTTTATCTTGTGTTATTGTTTTTGTCAGTTTTTCTGCATCTGTCCCTTCCAATAAAAGTTGAGTACTTGAGGACCAGTTTTGGTTTTGTGTAGGAGAAATTAACTACTTTTTGTGCATTATATTTCTAAACAAGTAATGTTTATCCAAGTTAACAAGTTACTAAAGCTCTCACATCATTTGGCTTATGCTTTCTTATCAGTTGAGTTAGAATAATTCAATTAACAATTTTTTTTCATCTACAAACAAAATTTGTAGACTTTATTGTTTTTACATATGCGGAATTTGATCTTTATTTTTTATTTACTAATTTTTTTGTACTCTGTGAAAATACTTAAAAGTGCAAAATAAAAACCTGATAAATATATGTTTGGTTATTTTTAAATATTGACTGTTTTCAAAAGTAAATGACCTGATGCACGTAGTTCAAAAATGTTTGGAAGTTATTGTTAATCACACAATTAAGGCCGTATCCAGTGCTGAAAAAGCAGGAAGACAAACTCTCGAAGGGGCACCCTACTCCAAATAAATGTTTGTCACATAAAGGCCCCCTTTTCTCAGGAAAAAATAATTACAGCAGAACATTGCATAACTATACAATTTTATTTTGAATGTAAGTTAATTGAACAATTCCATCATTTAGAATTTGAAATTAAGGTATAAAGTGGGCCCCATTTAATCAGGGCCCTTGCCAGGGGGGTTTGGGGAGCTGTCTCTACAAAACTGGTACTATGTGCATGCTAGTTTTTAAATAATACATAATGTACAGAGCAATTAAAAAACTGATTGGGGGCCCTTTTGTTGACTAATTGGAGTTGCTTTCCTATTGATGATGTTTCGTTTGTTTTTAATATTACAATTTTCCTTATAGGGGCTCTCCAATTTTTATGAAAAAGTGAGGAGGCAATTGCCTCCTCTGCCTCAGCCTGGCTATGGCCCTGACGATAAAATAGTGTGGAAAAAGTAAATCAGTATTTACCGTAGCATAGGAAATTTCCAGTCCATTATAATAATAAATATATATATATATATTTATACAGATATTCAGCATCATAGTTGTTATCATCATTATAGAATATAACTAACAGCTTTAGTAGCTAAATACTTCAGAAAATCAGAGTTATTTACAGAAAGTCTGTGAGTAGAGTAACACCTTGGGAGGGGTCAGTGATAAGTCTGAAGGTTTATAACACTAAAAATTGGGTTTTAATTCCAGGCCAGTGTGTAGTTTTGTGGTTATTAACAAGCAAACCATGCAGTCCAACTTCATTCGTATTAATCACTAAAGACAAAAGACCTGAACAGGAGAGGAATTGTGGGTAATATCATATTTTCAAAAAATGATGGCCTGTTAAAACTTAGTTCTTCTGATTTTGAGAACATTATATTTATTGAGTAAATGCTGGCTACAACAGATACACTCTTTCGGTGTTTTTTTGATTTATGATAATAGTTGTAACCCTGAACCTGACTGTGTTTCGTAATTCTGTTTTAATAAATGATTCTACCAGTATAAAATTATATTATTTACAATAATAGTTGTAACTCTGAACCTGACTATCTTTCATAATTTTTTTTGTTTTAAATAAATGATTCTGCCAGTATGAAATTTCATTAATTTTTTGTTAAAAGCATTGTATAAAGATAGTATTCAAATAACTTAAAATTTTTTATTTAACTTTTTTCTCGTAGAATCTCCAGCCCATTGTCTTTCACAACCAAGTTCCTGCTAATGCACTTGTTCGTCCTCGCTTCAACAGCTTCACGTCAAAAACATCGAGCTCGACTACAACTTACAGTCAGCCTGCTCAGGCTGTTACAGAGTGCACTAAGAATGCAACCCAGTCACAAACACCTAATCAGTATCAGCCCTCACGCCCCCACATTAAAAATACAGTTTTGCCACAGACAATATCATCTGAACAGATTTTATCAACACAGGTACCACCTACTGACCATGTGACACAAATATCACACTTAAATTGTTCTTCACCATCAGAAAGATGGATTGTTCCCACCAAGTTATCACAGTTATCCCTCACAAACCTTGTACAATGTCACACCTTAGGATCCTTTCAAAACACTCAGTCAGCAAAACAGAACGTCTCTGTTCAGTCATCAAGTTCACAACCTATCTCGCAGAGTCCATTACCATTAAAAACGTGTACTTTATATCACTCTCAGAACATATCTGTAAATGCACCACAAGAAGACGGGTTAATGAGTGCCAAAAATCTTAACAGTTTAGAATTAAAGAGAGATTTGCCCAATATCAGTTTACATGGAGAGTTTGAGACTTGCAAAGGCCTACCAAATGAAGATCAGAAAGACAGATCAGGTTAGAATCAAATCAATATATTTAATCTATAATTTTAAGAAATGCAGTACAAAAAAGAAGCATGTCTTTGGCAAATCTGTGAAAAACCTGAATCACTTCATCGATGTTTGAAACAAACCAGAGCATTGTTGTACAAAGAAGTAAATAGAAAGTTTAGTCTACTGTTATGATACTACTGTAACAAAGTGCATCAGGTAGGTTACTGGTAAGGTAGTGTTACCGATAAGCAAGTTGAACACATTGGTTTCCAAAGATATGGGATAACAAAATGCAGTAATTATTATATTTATATTGTCCTCAAAATACACAATTTGAAAGTACACAAGTTTATAAAACAAGAATAGGTGCAAAAGCATTTTATTCAGCTAGATTATGTAGGTCCTTTGGCCAAAACATTAAGATCTTAATTCTTTTATTTCTGTACAGTGTGTTATACCATTTGTTTTGTATTTTTATTTAAGATGGTACTCTTGTCAGACACATTAAATACCAGAGCTTATGAGTTGGTGAAAGATAGATTCATTTATATGCAGACTTGTGAGATTTATATTATCATTTGTGTACTTTGTTTTGTTTTTGATACTCAGGTAATTTTGAATATGTCTTACAGATTGGGATTTCAAAGCTAAAGAAAGAAGTCAAGCTGAGATAGAAAACAAGTAAGTTGACATTCTTAAATTTTTGTCATATTGTATGCAAAAAGGGAACACAATTTTTCCCCCCTATATTCTTGCCATGATTGTGTGGATGTAGGTAAGTGAAAGTGGAACCATGAAGTTTAAGAATAGTAACATAATGTGTGTTCGGGGTAACTTATTGTTATGTATGTGATATTTACAGTTCTTGAGGATTGTTTCTGACTGTTGTTTTTTATTTTTGTACTGTACTAATTATTGGTGCCTTCTTTCTCTCTCTCTCTCTTTTAGATTGTATTTTTTGGAAAATATAAAATAGTTTTACAGCTGGAAGCATAATTGTTTCCTAGATGTTTTCTTATTAAACACTTTTTTTTGTAAATTTTATGTCTGTGTAGTATAAGTTTTTGTTGTGTATGTACATGTTTTTTATGGTTATCCCTGAATGTTGGACAATTAGTTAAAGTTTACCAGTTATTTTTTAATTTTCCTCATCAATAATGCAAGTGTTATTAGCTCAGACCTTTCTATAAAATACTTTAAGTTATGCATTCTTGTTTTACCAAAACATTGCTATTAGACAGCTTTGTCTGCATAGGCTCTAACACCAAAATTAATTTCAACAATTTGTGATTAGAAATTAAACATGCCTTGACTAAGTTTTATTGTTTTGTTCCACAATGCGTACCATAAGCTATATAACTTAATTGATGGCATTTGGCTCCATAATTAAGGTTATGAGGTAATAATTTCACTCTAAAATCTTATTTTTTTTTAATCATGTAAGACCAGTTAAAAGTCTATACATTTTTCATAGATGAGTACATTAAAAGATAGAACACCTACTAATACACTCTCAGAGAGTTAGTGTAAGAACAATTTTTTGATAACATCTCTTTTTTTTTTTTTTGAAAATCAATTGTTTACACTTAGAGTTTGTAATAATAATCTATTTAAGATCATTGATACATCCTCCTTCTTCTAAAATACATTTAAATTCTAGTATATTTCTTAAGAAATGTAATGTTTTTATTAAGAGAACCCATTATAAAGATTACTTGTAATCGGATAAACTTTTCTCATCCCAAACAGATTTTATGGAAAATTTTTAGGCTTGTAATGTATTGTTTTTTTTAAAATACTCTCATGTATCAAGACCGGTTCTCAATAACACAAATTAATTGCTTTTTTATCTCTTGTTTGGCTGTAACATAAAAATTATTGTGATTCTTAGCTAAAATCTGGTACCAGGACTGACGACAAAGCCATTGACAGGCTGAACCAGTAGTAAATAGATGTAAAAAAAAAGAATTCAAACTGTGTAGAAAATAGGTCTGATACAAAGAATATTTCTTAAGATTCAATATCAGATGCTAACTCCTTTCACTGTATAATAATTATTACTTTTTATAGAATTTTTAAAAGTGTAAATAATAGCTTTCTGTTTAAAAAGTGTATGTATGTGTATGTTCTATGATATTTCATAGCATGCTTATTATACTTGTATTATGGATGTTTGAGAGGTGTCCCTGTAACATGGCATTTTGAAATTGTTTTTTCAACCAAACTGGGAAACATTTCTTAAATTTGATTTTTATAGACTACAATATGGAAGACTGTCTTTCTAGTGATACCCCATTCAGTGCTGTGGTTGCTCTATAGTTACACTAGAGTGATTGGGTGTATATAGATACGATTGTGTCATCCATTGTAGTAAGATTTGTATTAAGTCGTTATTAAAATATATATTTATTTCTAGGTAAAATTGTTTATGTTTAATTTTTTTTAACAAATGTAGAAACAAAATAGTAGCAGAAAATACCAATGTGAAAAATTCTAGCCAACAGTATCTTAAGCAAGATAAACGAGGAGGGAGAAACCTGAGAAGAACTCGATCAGATGGTGTGGCGGAGATAATAAAAGCAGGAAGCAGGCTGCAGAATAACAGAGCAGCAGTCTCTCCAGAAAAACACAAGTATGGAAGAAATGATAGAAAGGAAGAAAATAACTGTCATAGTAATCCTTTGTATGTTCATATCTCCGATGTACCAAAAAAAACCTTCGTGTCGTTAGAAAATGTGCAACAGGAAATTTTATCATCATTACATGGACAACAACAACTTTCAAAAGAGACAGGTATGTAGAAAAACTTATTGTTATAACTTTTTTAAAAAAAAAGAAAAGCTTGAGTTGCATAATTTTTAATACAAGTTGAGAGTGACTCAGCCCTAAGTAGATGCAGTTTGGGTTTCTATTAGCAGGTATAAAGGGAAAAGGCTTTTAGTGGGAATTTGTTACAGACCACCAGATGATACTGATGACATTAATGAGAAACGTTACAGTGAGATTAAGGTTTCAGCTGTTAATGAGGTTGTAATTATGGGTGATTTTGATTTATAGATTGGAAAATGTTAGAGTCAAACCATGAAGGAGAAAGGTTTTTTGGAAACTTATCAAAATGGTTTTCTTTGCCAATTGGTTAAGGAACCTACTAGAAACAATGTTATTTTAGATTTATTGTTAACTTTTAATATAGAAATGGTTAAGAGGGTGGAAATTGAGGAATATCTGGGTGCAAGTGATCATTGCTCTGTTAGGTTCAATGTTTTGCTCCATGTGGAGATCATGAATAATGACATTTTGATTACAAATTTAAAAAAAGTAAATTTTGAAGGGATGGGACAAGAATTATCTATTATGAATTGGTTAGTTGAGTTATTTGGAGACACTGATCAAATGTGGAAAACTTTTAAAGATAAATTTTTAAATATTCAAGATAAACATATTTCTTATAGAAAGAAAAGGGTGGCTACAAGTAATAAACCATGTTCGCTCACAAAGAGTATAAGAGATAAAATTAGAGAAAAGCATCACAAATTTAAGTTGACTGGTATGATGGGAGATTTAGAAGATTATAGAAGATCAAGAAAGTTGGTCAAACAGGTAATTAGGACATCAAAAAGGATGTATGGAAAAAAAGGTTGGCTGAAAAGGTAAAACATTAAGAGTCAGGATTTCTTTAAATACATTAAGGGTAAACAAAAGGTTAGGATGGCAGTAGGACCCTTGATGGATGATAAAGGAAAGCTCGTATCTGATGATTATGAGATGGCTGGCTTATTAAGTTCTGCTTTTTCTTCAGTTTTTACAAATGAACATTTAAACAGCATTCCTCATCTTGAATAGTTTATACATGGAAAGAAAGTTGAACAAGACGATTGCATTAATTTTGAGCATGTTAAGAAAACATAGGGAAGTTTAAATAACGATAAGGTTCCTGGGCCAGGTAATATTTCCCCAAGTGTTTTGAAAGAGGTTAAGGGTTGGATATGTGAGCCACTTGCTACTATTTTTTGTAAGCTCTTGAATGGTGAGTAAGAATCAAAGGATTGGAAGTTGGCTAATGTCACTCCTCTTTTTAAGAGAGGTAATAATAACTGTCCCAGTAATTATTGGCCCATTAGTCTTATATCAGTTGTGGGAAAAGTTTTGAAAAGTCTGATAAAATGTGGGAGATAAGTTAGCTAATTGGGTAGAAGAGTGTCTGGATGGAAGAAAGCAGAGGGTTGTTACAAATGGAGTTTGATCAAACTGGATTAATGTTACAAGTGGGGTACCTTAGGGCTCAGTCTTAGAACCTTTACTCTTTTTGATTTACATTAATGACATATATGAAGGAATGGTCAATAAATTACTTCAATTTGCTGATGATATTGAGGTCTTGAGTGTTAGTTGTGAAGAGGATGCTGCTGCTTTACAAAAGGATTTAGATCATTTAATGAGTTGGGCAAATAAATGGCAGATGGGTTTTAATCATAATAAATGCAAAATAATGCATGTGGGTTATCATAATTTGAATTACAAGTATAATTTGGAAGGGAATAACCTGAACAGTGTTATAGAAGAAAATGATCTTGGTGTAATGGTTGATTAATCTCTTAAACCATCCAAGCAGTGTGCTGTTGCTACTGATAGGGCAAATAGGATTTTAGGTTGTATCTACAGAAATATTGAACACAAGTCTAAAGAGATTATAATTTCATTTGTATAGGTCACTGGTCAGGCCACATTTGGAATATTGTGCTCAGTCTTAGGCTCCTTACCTTAGGAAGGACATTGAACTGTGGGAAATCTCAAATTGTTTTCTCTTGAAAAAAGAAGAGTTAGGGGTGATCTGATTGAAGTGTTTAAGATTATAAATAGAATTGATAGTGTTGATGCATCTTCGTTTTTCATACTTAATGGTGAGAACAGTAGGACTTGGGGAAACAGATATAAATTTTGGCAAGGTACAGGTCATCTTAGCTAAGACAGTTTTATTTTCCTAACAGGGGGGGTTGGTCTATGGAATGTGTTGCCTTTAGATGTGGATGCAGTAAATGTAAGTGAGTTTAAGAAAAAACTTGATAACTATATGAATGATAAGGGCTGGTTTAAATTTTTTTTTAAATCATTTTAATTTAGTTTAGAGGATGGAACAGCCAAGATATACCAATAGGTCCCATGTTGTCCTAAAACAGTATGTTATGTTAAATGATTTTTTTTTGTCTTAAAGTGTTAAAACATGTTTTTACCAGCTGCAAATTGCCAAATGTTTGCTATGAAAACTTTTAAACGTTGAAAAGGAAATTTTTGGCATTATCAGAATGTTAGTTTTTTTTTGTTTTACATCCTGAATATTTTAAACACTAGTTTCTTTTTATTCTGTGTTTGAGTATTATTGTGTTTCATTGTTTCTGTTATAAAACTGAATGAAATTAAATTCTGTGATTTATATTTTTGACATTAAATACTATAATGTTTTAGTTTTTGCACACTGATAGCTGTAAGGAGATCATGTGAGTTGCTTTGTTGTTGAACAGTTTTGGTGTATTTTATTATGAGTGTTTTATTCATGCTTAGTCAATGTTATGCTTCTGTGCTTAGTTTATTCTAGGATTTTCAGTGTTTTAGACTCTTACTGATGAAGTTTCACACATAACTGGAAAGTTGCATAAGTAGTAATTGCTATCCAGTTATCAAAAACGATTTTGTATAGTACATTTATTTTGTTCATTTGTGATGTGTTTATATCATCCAAAGTTTATCAGTTCTCAGAGAAAAATTTATCTAAGATAGTGTACAAAATCCTAACATAATAATTCTAAGTTTTAATTTATTTGTATCCAGAATTGCATTCAGTTCTGTCACATTGTTGAACAATTGAAATATTACTTTATTAGATAGGCATTTTGATTTTTTAAAATCTTATGGGGAAATTTTTTTGTGCTGTAATTTTTTAATAGTGCACTGTCAGAACTTTAAGTATATATATAGGTGTGGGTCAAGGATTTTTTTTACAGTAGGTGTCTGTGACTTGTTGACAATAAATTTGAACAATAAACAGACAGCTCACACTCCATTTGTTTTAAAATAATATATTAAAAACAAGTTTAATGTATGTACAAAATTCCTTACACTATGGAGATCATAGTTGTATCTTAAACACTATACAGTTCTCTTCTTCTTCTTGTCAAAAGTCCACTTAGGCTAATTCGATTGCTTTAGAATCCAGCTGACAAGCTGAAATATTTTTCTATACTTTATCACAATAGTATCAGTGAATAATTCACTTATGCTGCCTCGTGAGTTACCACAGTTGTATCCTGAACAGGGGGATTAAATTTGTTTAGAACACCCTTTGACAAGACAAATTATTCTCCTTATCTCAATCAAACTGTTAATTTCACTTTAACATATCAACTGTTAAGCTTATTCAGTCCCAAGACAGTTAACTTCACGTTTTCTAACTTTTCTCTGACTGAACTTCTTTTTTACTTGCCTTTACTTTTACTACATTCCCGCTCATTTTGTCGCCACTATTTATGTGTATCACTGAGGCCCCTAGAATATTCTATAACCTCGATACCAATGAATAGCAAACATAACGTACATCTCTTACCGAGTTACGTAACCAAACTTGTCATAACTATCACCTTTAAAATACTTGCTTTTAACTCTCTTGTTACGAAAAAAACCCAACAATAATTAAATATTAACTCACAAAATAAATTAAATAATAATGCTTACACTACACAGTCTTGTCTATCCAACATGCACATCATATTACGTTTTATTGTATTAAAAATAACATAGGATCAAAAAAAGTTCTCAAAATTGCATTAAAAACTATTAATTTTTGCAGATAGACTGCATTATTGGGGTTTTGAATATTAATTTTTTTGCCAGTTTTAACAGCTGATAAAGTTTTCTTTGTTGTTTGGTTCAGATCCTCAGCAGTTACCTATAGATCAATCACTACTCCCTCGTCACTTCCTTAGCTTACATAAGACTTCTTCAGGAACCAGCATATCAAGCACAGACATGCAAACAACAGTAGATAGCCCTCAGCAAGAAAGCACGTCTCACCAAAAAACTGACAATATCCATTGTACTTGGCAGTCACAATGTGTAAGGAGGCGCTCACGTTCTCAGAATGCTAGATCTGATTATTCTCAGGTATTGAATTTTGTATTACTTTTCTAGAATTATTAACAGTTCTCACAGGATGAAAATCATAAAGATTCAGCACAGTTCTTTCAATAAGAATTTTGACACATTAATTAAATGTTGCTGGATTTGATTGTATATATATCAAAACTAAGTCCCTTCAAGTGCACATGTGGAACCATTCATTTACAAGGCTTTTTTACACTTCTGGAATTGTAATTGTCAACTACCCTTTTGTAATGACGGCTGGATAAGGCCAGGG